TAATGGGGTTTGGTTGCATTGAGCTAGTTTTTTTTTTATCGCTACTGCAAGTATAAAACTCGTGTTGTGTGGCGGATGTGACGTCCACCTGCCGTAGATGGCATCCTACAGAGAAAAGTATTGCAGACAGCTTGTCTGTACTTCAATGATCCAGGCACTCGACTCCAGCTTTCGAGTCAGGAAATGGGTCATTTGAATCAATTAAATATAAATACAATTATTAAACAATCTACTTATAAAATTACTGTAATATATGTTTATAATGTTTACCCTAAACATGCAAGTTGTTTATAAATAATACTGCAACGTCATGTGAAGCAAATGTTCGTACGTGATGTCATTGATATCACAGTTATTAATACATGTATAGGCATATTCAATAATTGTATTAACTGTCTCGTGTCAGCCATTATTCAAGCTAAACAATAACTGCGCATGTATTTATAAAATTATTATAACGTATGGAGTTCAGTATTGTTATCGGAGTGAATTGAAGAGCGGGTAATGCTGATATAGTTACGTTCTCATGTATGAGGGAATAATAAATAAAAATTACCTTCAAAATTACACTATACGATTAACGAATAACGAACGTAATGTGTCAGCATCCTTTATTTCATATTTTTGTCATATTACCTCCAACCCTGCAAATGGAAGTGTGCATGGAATCATGGGAATAAACTGTGTGCATTGTGATAACTGTCATAAAGGTGATTGACAGGTCGTACTTGGGTACAATGGGTTCTACTAGGCGTGCTTGTAATTTACATAACAAAGGGTGTTTACAACTTGGAAGGAGAATTGGAATCTACCAGGTGCGCTGTTATTTGAATAACAAAGGATGTGTATGATCTACTGAGTTGCCTACGTGACACAGCTACTAGCAAGATTACATTCTGGTTGGCTCATGTGGAAACCCGGGTGGTTTCACTGAATCATGCCTATAAATTGGTCAGACTCAGGACAGTTTGGGTCGATCATTTCAACTTGGTGTCCGTCATTTCAACTTACTTTCCTGTGTGTTCTGCTACGATATTGTTTGACAGGTGAAACAGGCTACAACCATTATTCTGTGAGACTTGTATGAACTGCTCTGCGATCTCCTGCTTTCAGCGGTACCCTCCAAAATACCAGCGTTTCTCTACAAGCAAGACTCCTGTATTTCTTTGTTGTTGTGTTGCAGAAGCCATTGTCTGTCGTCCATTAATACATCCTGGAACTGTGAGTTATCACCAATGCACACTTTCCTAAGCAATCCCCTATCTTAGTGACTGTATTCATTGTATTTTTCTGTGCTTTATTTCTTGTAATTATTTTAAGAGGTATTAAAGCCAGGAGCTTTAACTTGATATGTTGGTGTATGTGTATTTCATTTCCAGTACTTCTGTCTTGTCTACTAGCAATAAAAGAACCCCCTGTCCAGTGCGAGTTCTGTGGGTGGCCCTCTCAATTGTGATAAGCAGGCCTTACACTGTGACATATTGGTTATTCTGGTACGGGGTTCATTGTAATAGATCTGATTGATTGAATTCATGCGTATCCTATAAATATCTCATTTTAAATTATTGTATATTGACAATCAAGGCGACATAGGAAACAGGTGTCATTTTTTGTCCACTGCTATGTTTAAATCGATTTTCTCCCTTACATTATTAGCCACTAGAGTGGCGCATCTAATGTTGTTGTTGAAAAAAAGAATATGTTCATGACTACAAACGTATTATTTCTATAGCACTGTTAATGTAATCCATCAGATCACCAAAACTACCTGCAAAATAACAAAAGAGATTAATTACATAATTAGTGTCATGGTGACAGCGCCACCATAATACATTATTATTTGTTTTGCCATGGAAATTTAGATGGCGCTGTTGCATTACAAATTAAGAGCTTACCAAAATTTGCATAGATACTGCAATATCTTGTAAGATGATAATATATCATTAATTAATCTTAAGTTTATTACTGTATCTAAGTAGCCAGACTGTTTTATGTTACGTAGGTAAATTACTTCCAACAAATTTAAATAATTGATACCAGAGCCAAAACCACATATAGAGTTATGGTTTGGCAGTATACAGACCAAGTGCATCCACATAGGAAGGGAGAAAACGTGAAGTACTACTAAATGAACTTTCCAGAAGTTGGTGAGTAGTCCATTCATTTCCTGCCTCATCTAGTTTAGCATAGATGTTCCTGGCTCACCTAGTTCAGCACTAGGCCAATTAGAATGACCCATTGAAGAGTAGTTCAGATCTGGTGAGTAACCAAGCTCTCATTTCCTCACCCAGTAATTTACCCCTTCTCCTGAACAATTTGTCTTTTAGAATAGGATCATTCACTGAACATCAAATGAATCTCAATCAAAATCCATCAGGTTTAAATAATAAAAAAAGTGTAGTGACTATGGCGTAGGCAAAATAAAGTGTTTTAAATGATTTAGCAAGCAGTGTCACATTACTAAATTGTGCAATGGAAAATGAATATGACTGAACCAGAAAATAGATCTAGACAATTATTAACAAAAGGAGTGTAATAACTTACCGCTTCAACTGTGTTGTTGAATAACTCGTATAACAAGTGTTCAGACAACCGGGGCTTATTATCATTTTTTTCAAACTGGCTCCTACACAGTCCGGTTTTGCCTTGGTTTTGTCTGTAGCTACAGGCTCCAATACACAGACCTCAGTCCAGTTTCCGGAATGTCAGAAGTATAGAATGTCTCCGGAATGTTCTAGCTTCTAGAACTATTGGCTCGTGTATTGCTCGTCTAAGCTTAGCCACCATACATTAGTTAATACCCAAGTTAATTGTGAATTGCTATCAAAGCACACTATAATGGGGCTTGGTCGCATTGAGCTAGTTTGTTATCGCTACTGCAAGTATAAAACTCGTGTTGTGTGGCGAAAATGACGTCTACCTGCCGTAGATGGCATCCTACAGAGACAATTATGGCAGGTAGCTCGTCTGTACTTCACTGGTACAGGCATTCGACTTCAGGTTTCGAGTCAGAAAATGGGACATTAGAGTCAGTTGAACAACTGACTAAAATGTTTGAGATCTAACAATGACATCTATGGTAGACAACATGCTAAATTTAGCATGCATTAAAACGCCAATCAAAATTTAAGGCCTCGAAACAACCTATTAAATATAAGGGCATTATTTTGTACGAGGGAAGAAATTATATGTTGACGTGTATGTTTATTATAGCGATGTCTGATGACTCACTGAATAGTAATATTGCATGTTCATATTTATTATTATCAAAACCGTATCAGTGAAAAAAATACTCGTGTATATACGTTTACTCTATTAGCACATATATGTGTGGTACAAAAACTCAATTGACGGTTTCTTCTGATGTCCCATACACATCAAATAATCTTTGTATAATTGATGGGGACGGGAAGTAGGCATATGTAACACGTGGGTTATAAAATATCACATTACATGCTACGATGCAGCCGATATCAGTTGACGTGATAGAAATTCAAGGCATAAATAAAGAATAATTTGTTAGTATAACTGTTGCACCGGGCGTGCCATGTAATGATGACACGGAAAACGTATTTGGTTCACATTAGTCCCCATTATGATGGCAATAGTCTTATAGTGATTTATTATACACAATACGATGATGAAAATAAATGAACTTTCATATATCACAATCAGGTAAATCTTACTGAATTCATGATCAAATTGTTCCCGAGCAAAGTACAAGACACTAATTTAACAGGTCTATGTTAAACATACAATAATTATAACGGAATTGTACATCATTCTCTAAATGGTTAGCGCATTGTGTGATTATTTTTTTTATTCAAGTCAGTAATGTCAGTCTGGGTTATCATTTGCATTAAGACCACCTAACAAAGTCAACTTGACTATTAGCAATGATTACTCAGTTACCAATATATTTAGTAATAGCATTATCAGCAATGTTTCCAAGATATGAGTCACGGTTATTTTTAAAACACGTGGGCAGTGCAAATTTCATTATGACCTGATTAACAAAAGTCAGAGTAAAACAGACATGACTGACAAATAAGATTATGTCACAGTACTTATTTATCACCTTATCAGTCTAGACAGTTGTTGGGAACACTGGCGTTGTGTTCCGGAAACTTTGACTCGTTTAGCTGATAACGCGTACACATTGAAAGACCAGGTTCTACCCTGAGGAATACACAATAGTTCATTACAGCTAGTTCAGCTTTATTCGTCCAAACCGTCAGCTGAAGTCACGTCTCGCTGACCATTTTTCTTCTTTCTCTGTTACAAAATCTTACAAACTCTACAATAAAACTCTAAGGCGTGGCAGAGTAATCATGCAATCAGCCAATCTCTGCAGTCGTCGGCACGATCACGTGATTACCGGGGATTTGTCTCGCGGTTAAAGCATTGCAAAGTTGCCACTACTAAATACAATTATTAAACAATCTACTTATAAACTTCCTGTAATATATGTTTATAATATTTATCCTAAACATGCAAGTTGTTTATTCTAAACAATACTGCAACGTCATGTGAAGCAAATGTTCGTACGTGATGTCATTGATATCACAGTTATTAATATAGGCATATTCAATAATTATATTAACTCTCGCGTGTCAGCCATTATTCAAGCTAACCAATAACTGCGTATGTATTTATAAAATTATTAAAACGTATGAAAATCAGTATTTTTATCGAAGTGGATTTAAGAGCGGGAAATGATGATAGAGATACGTTCTCATGTATGAGGGAATACAAAATACCTTCAAAATTACACTATACGATTAACGAATATCAGTATATTTCTGAGCCGTAATGTTTATTCCAGTACGGGGCTCATTGTAATACAGCTTATTAATTGAAATCGTGCGTATCCTATAAATCTCTCATTTAAATTACTGTATATTGACAATCAAGACATATTGTGCGCAACTCACAACATGTCAAACTTATGTAAAACTTGTAATAGGCGTTTTTTAAAGAAAATGTTTGAAAACAAATACGAGGAGAAAATCAATGAACTCTATCACAGTTAGAACACTTGCTCCGATGCATAGACCCATCACACCACCAAAACTACCTGCAAAATAAAAGAGATTGATTTCATAATTAGTGGCATGGTGACAGCGCCACCATGATGATTTATTTATTTATTTATTTATTTATTTATTTATTTTTTTAAATTAATCTCAACAAAAAAAGTGTAGTGACTATGGCGTAGGCATAATAAAATATTTTTAAATGATGTAGCAAGCAGTGTCACATTATTAAATTATGCAATGAAAAATGAATGTCACTTACTTAACAGGGACCAACCAGACATTTTTGGAACTAATTTTGTTTCTCTGTATGCCAGTTCTGTATAGTAAATTGTGATGTCAATAAAATTGTTTCTGTAGAAAATGATTAATAGTATATGAATTAGTCTAGCGAGTAATACATGCCGATAAATGACACAAATAGCAGTATTATAGATATGACACATAAATCATTGAACTCCGCTAAATATATATACAGCCATGTATACAACACAGACAATAAGTATACGGCAGCACATTTGTCATCGCTCGCCATTTATGATGGTTAAACTCCAAAAACGATGTATGCAATTACCCTCTGATACGCGTGCCACAAAAGCAATACATTTGATATATAACTTGCGTATGTTTATTATAGCGATGTCTGATGAATCACTGAATAATGATATTGCATGTTCTTATTCATTATTATCAAAACCGTGTCAGTGAAAACTTCACTCGTGTATATACGTTTACTATATTAGCATATATATGTAGGTACAAATACTCACTTGACGGTTTCTTCTGATGTCCCATACACATCAAATAATCTTTGTATAATTGATGGGGACGGGAAGTAGGCATATGTAACACGTGGGTTATAAAATATCACATTACATGCCACGTTGCAGCCGACATCAGTTGACGTGATAGAAACTCAAGGCAAAAACAAGGAATAATTTGTTAGTATAATGAAAAACTGTTTTACCGATGACACGGAAAACGTATTTGGTTCACATTCGTCTCCATTATGACGGCAATAGTCTTATAATGATTTATTATACACAATACCATGATGAAAATAAATGATCTGTCATATATCATGATCAGGTGAGGCTTACTGCATTCATGATCAAATTGTTCCCTAGCAAACTACAAGACACTCATTTAACAGGTCTTAAGCATACAATATTTGTAACCTTTTTAGTAAGTAATGTCAGTCTGGGTATTGGAGCACACAAATGACACATTTATAAAAGCAGCAACATATGCATTGTCCAAACGTTGCTGCTCAAGTTCGCTTAACTCAATCTTCGATATTCACATTCTACTTCATTGCAAAACCTTGCCACCATCATATATGTATGGCTAACATCTATAATTGTACCATTTCTGCATATTATATGATTTAATCAGAAACATCTACGAGCTAATGCGTACATTACAGGTTGTACAATATATCATGGCCTTATCAATAACAGTTAATTTTATGACGTCATTGCCGAACCGCGGGTATCAATACAATCTTGTTTTTCGGAAAAGATGACGGAGCGAGTATTTAAAAAGAACAGCATATATGACGTAACAAGAAGTTACCAGCATCCAATAAAATGGTTTGTTGCCATTAATAACATATTTCAATATTGAAATCGGACAATTTGGTAAACAAATCGTCGTGTGCTCGTCAAATCGTGTTTGCGGCGTTCGACAAAAAACTAAGAAGACTTGTTATTTCTAAGCGACGCTCCTCGGAAATTGTCACAGTCCGAAATCAGTTTGGATAAACAAATGAAAGTGACCCTATTCTTAGAAAGCAACAGTAGTTTTAATATTTATATGTATTTATACAGTTAAAATCACTCTTGCTTGTTTGTCTCTTATGATTGCTGAAACCTACACGCAGGCTTTCTAGCCATGTTCGGTAGCACACTACGCCTTTTGTCTTTAAAGTGTTAAGTCATCAAATCTTTGACCTATTGTAGCATTTAAAAATAACACGGACAGGAGAAACATCTACCCTGATTCTGTGAATAATTTATGAACAGATGCACAGACAGTCGATCCGCACCATCGATCTGAAGGAGACGATGCATACGTCTAAGATCAACGTAGCGTAGTGTGAGGTAGCCGCCTCGGGACGGCGTACCGATGTATCGTTCACTCGCGCGTTAACTGCAATGCTACTCCACACCACACATCAGGCACTTGTCCACTCACAATGTGAATGATTTAAAATATATTTAATATTTGATGAAATAAAAGTAATTTCTTTCACATTTTGTTTTGCGAGAGATTTCGAGAGTTTTAATTTATTCGGGGCCAGTGAACGTGAAACTATATCGTTCACTGTTTTTTTTTCATAATTGTCTGCTTTATAATGGCACCAAATTTACTGGTATGACAACGATACAGAATAATACCAATAACTCCTCTCCAACCAACAATGAACTCAAACACACTTTGTGCTTCATATATGTCGCACAAAGTGTGCTATCGTTCATAATGGGTTGGCGGATCGTCTGTTATTGTATAAATATGTCTTTTTATGGCGTCATCACTGCAGAGTAGACATAATTTTGGATTGAACAGCTTTCAACAACTAAAAGGATTGATGCTCAAGACCAATGAAAATTTTGATATATAAATAGCGGGAAGTTGTGACTACGCTCAGGAAGCATGTCAGTACCAGACAAAAATGAAACTGTAGGCATATGTTCAATGTACTGTGTCCCAGCGCGACACAGAGTTGACGTTGACGTTGCCGTTGCATTAGTCATGCGCCACGTCACATCACCCCACCTCAATACCAGTCGCTCACCCACTAAAGGTTAAATGCCACTCGTGAATTGACACTCTTCGTGTGTGTGTAAATCAGTTGGTAAAATGAATACATTTCGAGAACGTTGTTTTCTACCATGCAGATATCAGAGCCGGTAGTAGTAGCAGGAAGAACTGTTGTGTATACTTACTGATGAAACTATTAAGTTGTCATGGCTTATATACATATCATAAGGTTATATCAGAGAGTTGAAACCATATATTCTACATACCTTTCAGTGGAAAAGCACATTCTATGTACTCTCGAATTGTACAAACACGGGCGGGTCCTGACAAGTAAAAAAAATAGTGATCAAATAAATAATGGGCAATATCATTATATCAGTGTAACTTCACTTGTAAACTGGGTCAATGTCTCAGTATGGATTTGGATCTTAACCTGCTTTGTTTAAATGAATTTAGAACACAGAATGATAACAAAGGTAGTTTACAGAAAACAAGTGCCGCTTCTTTACACCACCTTGATGTCTTCTACTCTTGCTATCAGAAAATGATTTATGAAAGTGCTACATCAACAATACTCTTATAAAATACAAAACATGGCGTATCCACCGGCTTATAAAACAAAACCAGACGGTATTTAATGTGTAGATACAAATTCAATCTGCTTGTGACTAGTGACAATTATTTTGAATGTAAAGGTAAAAAGTTTCACGTAGCATAAGTAACATTTTGATAGATTGTTTTTCTATATATGTAGATGTCCTACTGTATTCCGGTTGAACATTTCAGAATGAGGAAACTATTACCTGATCACATAACATTAATTATTTGCAGATATAGTTTCCAGACATCTATTAGAGTCTCCCTTTTTCTACTAACTGACTATTAAATTTGAAGAAATTGTTTCCTGACCACGTTACCCATTTAATTATGCACATTTTACTCAAATTAATTTTCTATTAACTGGATAGTGCAAAGAGTCTCACATAACTTATTAACTAGTCATATGGTCTTATTTATTATGTGCATATATAATTACATGGATCTATTACATATGGACAATTTACTACTAATTGGATATTGTGCACAAGAGTAGGGAGATCCTGACAAACTAATAACTTGATGTGTGTGTATATGTGCATATTTAATTCACATGAAAATAATAAACATAGATATTTAATATTTCCAGATTATTGTTCTTACGGGTAACGAGCAGTGTTCTTCGTAACCATTGCCAAACCAACTGAAACCCGATCAATACTGTGTGTAGCTATATTTAATTATCATTTTTGTCCGCAGTGTATTCAATTGTATAGTATTATAACAAATATGGTGTAGGATATTTCGTCAAACTGTCTTCACCTTTTCCTTATTGTTTTTACTATGATTTTGGGAAAATACATATTTATGAATATAGTTATACATCTGTCACCGTAACGCCATAAGTTACAGCATGTCGTAATTTTGCGGTGTTTTACGGGGTATTTTCATCCTACCATATAAGAAAATGCGAATTCCAAATATGGAATGATTACGCGCGTAAGTGTCCTCTAATAATAAAAACAAACATGGCTGCCACCAGGGTTTGGCCGGACTCCACACACAGAAGTTCGCTGATTCTGTTCTAAACTGTTTCGGCATTCCCATGATATATCCTTGGAAGGCAAAGATGTATAATAATAATAAGGTTGTTTCGAGGTTACCTCAAAGTATACATTCAGACAGTACGCCGTCGCATCGACCTCCGCTGCGCGCCGGTCGAAACCCCACTGCACTGTCTTCGTGCATACTTTGAGGTATCCTTGTAATAACTTCATAGTATTACCTGGTAATGATATATCTTTGCAGTTACACGTCTCTGTCATTTGTTTGGCCAACTTTTCATTCATGCATCCTTGATAGGAATAAATTGGATAGTAACTCGTTTCTCCTGTGGTGCAATGGGTGTGGAAGGGCGATCTTAAAAAAATAAACTGGTAGAAAACGCAAAAGATATTATATATATTTCATAGATTCAAATTATTCGGTTATTTTACATAAGTTAGCATTTATACTGGCTATCGCAAATATGAAAATATGATCAAATAGTCAGTTTGACGCATGAGTTTTATTTGTTGCATAACAATTATTTGTGACTGTGACCCTATTTAATTTGTTATCTCTCATATTCTTATACGTCAAAATGATTGGTAACTGGTCACGTAGAATTGAATGAATGCAATATATCCCTCACCGACATTTCACTTTAAGTCAAAGCACGCTAACACATTTATCTAAACCAATATTTGTGTTGTAAATTATGATATTATAATATTTACATTGTACTACACATACCTTCTCCAAAGACATTGCAACCATAGCTTCAGTACCCGGAGCAATGGACAGTTCCGTATTTACGCCGGTGATATCAGCACCAGGTTCACTCAGAATTACCTGGCGGAAATATAGCATTCATATTTTTATGATCGTGTGTAATTAGTTATCGTAACCAAGTCTGCCTGATCCTTTTCCTAAATGTATACGTGATGCTGTGTCTTGATAACACTATTACAATTACATAGTAATGATATGGTGTGGTTAGATGAATTTACGTGCATGTAGCAAAACAGGTTACGACCATGTTTACGGCCACTTGACTAGTAAACCGAGGGGTGGGCTTGAAAAAAATATCAAGACGAACCAAAATAAATTTTCCAGTTAGCATAATAAATATATAAGCATTTATGATTATTAAGAACATATATTGGGGTGATATTTAGAAGATTATTTGCCCGAAGAAAAAGTAAATTCTAATGGATAGACGTATACTATTACTGTGCAAACAAAAATCCGACAATCACATTGATGTAAGGAGAAAACACTCGATTCAGATATGAGTTTGCATTTTAAACAAGAGCCAGAGTCGGTGGGCATGAAATGTTGAATTGCTAGACTTTCTGAGAAATTATTCACGATTTTGACGATGTTTGAAAGCATTGGGTTACTTATGATTGTTTAAGAGTTACTCAAAAACGAACTGTGTAATTTGTTCATACTAAATAATGTTATATTTCTCATTGTAGAATATTAGATATGTTCATGCACAAATGTATGTGACGGATTTAAAACAGATTAAAATGTATGATAAACTATGATAATAAAATAACTTTCGTCATATTATAACATGTCATAGTATGTGGACATCCCCAACTTGTCATCAACTTTGTTAATACACTTGCAACGAATTAAGTCATTGAACATATTTCTCTCACATTTCTCCGGCAAAGAGATTTATTTTTAACGAAAGATTGATACCTTTTTTAAAATGTCATGAAAATTCATATTGTTTCTTCCCGGCAACCAGATCCAAATCTCCACCAAAACATAATTGATTGGTACTTGTCTCCAATGGAAACTCCTCTTAAAAAATTACTGGGGATTAATAAATAACTTTTTGAATTACAAGTAATTGCTGTTTCCATGGCAATCGGGACCACCTTTCTTCCACCAATCAAAAATACCTCTAGGGAGACCTTTCTTGGAAATATAATACAAATCCGTTTATAACTTTTATGAATAAAAAAATCGCTTTTACCTTCCACATTTTTACTTATACTTAATTTATTGGTCATTCAAATTCCATAAAATTCCGTCTATAATTTTTTGAGTTAAATGTTGAGTTACCACCACAACCCCACGGGTATAATTGATCTTTTTATAAGTGTGTAAGTTAGAAATGAAAAAAAAAATCCAAAATTGATTAACATGGCAAAACTAAATCTAATCGATTGTTCTGCATCAAGGACAATCCCTCCAGAATATCATAAAAGTCCATCTATTCATTTTTTGCGGCTATAAATGAAAAAAGCGCGGTTATGTTTCGCTAGGTCCTGTCGTCTTTTGCGAGGAACTATATTGATATATTGACAATGTTGTATCGATTTGTGCATTTCTGTATGCCTAGAATATCCCAGCGTGTAAGATCGTTCTTACAATTCTGATAGGATTTCACCAACAGAAATAATGACAACTTCAAATGAGTTTTAAATAAGAGTACATGATGATTTGTTATTGGAAATAATAGTTATTTTATAAAATCGCTTACATGCGAAACGATTTCATTACCTTGTAAATAAATGCATCCAATTGAAATGCAAAACTCTATTCGTTAAATTATTTTAAATATAAATAAATATTGGTGAAACATTATTGGACCAAATAACATTTCCACCCGGAGTTAGTCAAATAGTTCTATCATTTATTACAATTACGGTGGCCCGTATATACACTGGTTCCGCTAATTTAAAGAAAACGGTCCGCTACTTGAAACGAAATTACAGGCACATTGAAATTAGTCCCCCATATGAAAATCGTCAAATCGATACGCTACTTGAAAATCGGCCCCTACCTATAAAACTATTTTAAAATCGTTTCGCTACTTCGAAAATTGCCAGAGGTAACTTTTGACCTGCAGATATGACCCGGAAGTACAACGCTATGCACATTACTAGCATTGACCCCTCAAGTCAGTATTTTCTCTGTATCAAATATGTCCATTTAAATGTCACACATTTGTTTGACTTCATACACTCAGATATGTACTATGCTTTTTAACAAACTTGATTAGTTATTCAAAGCCTATAAGTTGCAGCTCTCGGAATCACACTTGAATCATTATGTAAAATAGAAATAATACATTACTAGCATCTTGGTGTCGGCATTAGATGTCATTGGCTATTAGTCACATAAGCAGATTAATACACGTATAACCTGACTTGTAAATACCGACTACTTGAAAACTATACACTCGTAGCCGTAACTGAATGACTTGTACCGGGTGTCATGACCAGTGATGTCAGACTTTTGTTTTAACACAATGTCGACATGGACACAATCTTACGGAGCAAAAGAATGAAACACAATAGAATAGTTGACAGCAAATTGATAGTGTTACATCAATACGGATGGTATCGATGGATCGCAGTAGTTAAAATCTCAAGTAAAATGATGATCAAATATTACCATGAGAGTTAACAGACATACTTGAAGAAACATTAGAAGAGACATGCATAGTACAGTTACTACTTACTAATTACTAATCGATACAAGGCTTATTTAATAAATAAAGGAATGCATATGCAATGAGGACATACACGGGGTGAAGCTGCAGTATTCAGTAAATTAGCAAGGAACGCTAATAACTAAAATGCTTAAGCAACAAACTCAGTTTTCAATTTTGTTTTGGGTTGACTTCCATAGGAAAAATCAATGGTGAGCAATATTTATCTCATTATCAATCCACATAAATGTATCCTATACGTATATCTTCGGTCAACATATCTTAGATCAACTTGAAATGATACCCTTTGAGTGGGATTTCAAAATTATCATATGCAACAATAAACGAAACGAATCTATCATCCTACCGTTATCCCATTGCCAGTTCTTGGACCGATGGTATACTCGTTTTTCTGAACATTAATCTGCACGTGTAACCCAGAGTTAGAGCCCGTTAACGAAGTATTTAGAAGGTTGTCAAGTCCGTTGTTGAAAGAGTAGCAAACGCCATGCTCTGTGAAGACGGTTGTGAAATTTTCCGGACCGCACGCATGGATATCCGCAGAATTAAAGAACTGGCATTTTAGAATTGTGTCTTCTAATTGGTGGGCTGCAGTCAACTCAAACTCTGTACGGTTCTTTAGTAGAGGATCATTCTCCAATAGAGTCCAGTTATAGCTGTCACTCAGGCGTGGACCGAAACCGACAACTGGGTATATGCGCCAAAGGAGTTCTTCAAACGCAGTCCCATTAATAACTGATTTTCTATATCTGTTTTGATTACATATAGTGACTGTAGGAAAGGTTAATGATCGTGGAAATTGAAGTAATGTCAACGTGTCCACCGGGTAGTTAAAATATGATTGAACTTGCACAAATAGAAATACGAATAGACATATTGCACAGCTAATCACAAGAATAATCCAAACTGATCTGTGAAAATATAAATAGATACAAAACAAATAGAAGAGCGTATAAATCATTGCAAACTATTTAATAAACTTCCCGATTTCCACACTACGCAATTTTATGTAGCGTAAATAATAGTTTCCAAAATTAGATTTGCAGTTTGCAAGCAATAATACGTGTATTTACATTGCCAAAACAACGTCTGTCTTTGTCTGGGAATTCAGCACAATTTATGTTGATATAAAACATAACCTTTTGTGCAGTTTGAAATCTTACTGGCAGTCAATCCTTATTTTCAAATAACCTTTTGATGTCTACTATGTTATAGGGATAGCTGCGTCAGTGAGAGGTAATTAAACTAATGTTGCCGATAAGTGTGAATTATTTTATGCATCGAGAGAGCAAAATGCATTACGGTTTAATTAGCATTTCGTCATCCATAGTTACTTAGTCATTACATGAACATTAAACACTTGAATAATTAATTAAAGAAACTTAGCCTCTTAAATATTAACTACAACAACATTTTGCACTCATTAATAATGCGCTAGTCTCTACTGAGCTGTTTGCTTATCCTCGATAGATACTGCCATTCGACATCTCAAACACAATATGCAGTTTCACATATTTACAATCCTATTCACATACGACCAGGAAGTATAAGTATCACATACTACTAGGAAAGTAAAAAGTAATACAATGCCATGATACAGTGATGGGATATAAAGATCGCTATATCGTCAGTAAAATACCTATTTGAAAATTATTTGAATTTTTTTTCGTGAAATGAAGTTATACAATCACAAGGATATCTAAAAATACAACCTTCGTTTCCAAGAACTAGTTGGGTCCACTGTATATGCAACTCCATGCAAGGTAGTTTCTCCCATAAACTGCGAAAATTCTTGTGAGAAGGTTTTGAGACGTCGTTTATTCTTACTATTGTCCGGCCCAGCTGGTGATAACTCTGTGCTAACATGTCCCTCCATGTTCTTCAGGAACTGACGAGTTATCATCTGATAAGGCTACACGTGGTAACGATCGACCAATGAGAAAGCGCCGTTTCAATGGGCAGCGTACGATATTATAATTTAATATAATATAATATTTAGAAAAATACTGCCGAGCGTAGCTATCAAAACTAATCTACTTTGTGAAAGACACTTTTTTTTAGAATTAAAAAATATGTGAAAGTGAAAGACAGATATTGGTCATTGGATTGACCTGAACCCCCACGTCCTTGTCAATTAACTATGTGCTAATTTTGACGGCATATTTTGCTGGTATTACAACCAGCGTTATGAATAACACGCATAGTAACACATAGCACACGTGCATTAATTTAGAATGTATTGACATATATAGTGTACATAGTGAGAAAAATTAATATAGATCGTACAGAAAGTAGTGAAAACAGCGAGCAATTTGATATGCATTTTGTTACGTGGCAAATTGAGGATCATTTATTTATTATTGATAGATTTTTACATAACATTGTATATGGTTTCACTGATCAGTAAACGTAAATAATTCCTCATACCAGGAGAAATGCAATTAGAGCTAATTCAAGCATAACTATTTACACTATAATAAAATGGTATCTGCTGAAATACACACTGGAGCAAATAAAATAATAACCTAAATTCTAGTTGATAAATAATTTTTGTCATGACAAAGGTAGCCAGGATTTTTTTTCCAGATTTTACCACCTTACTAAAGGGAAGGTTTGACCTGGGTGGCAAGTTTGAACGGCCCAGCTAAAAAAGTCACAGAAGACGCAACAAACACATTGCTATATGTTCCGAGGACTTCATTAGATTTACTTTTAATATAGTTGAATTAACTATTAATATAGTTGCTACATGAAATGGATTTAAACGCGTTCCTATATAGGGAGGCGTTTTAATTGGAGTTTAATTAAACTCAATTACAATCCAATACAACGTAGAATTGCGTTTTAATTAAGTTTAATTAATTAAATAAAAGTTAAATTAATATTCCGTGACTGAACATAGAATTGTTTGCTAAGCTTAAGTTTAGTATGGGTGAAGGTATGGTATAATTATATTAATATAAACTGAACCATACCTTCCCCCAATACTAAACCTAAGCTTCGCAAACTTGCAAGGTTCTAATTCCCAACATCTGTGCTTGAAAAGAAATAGTGATTAACATTCACTATTTTCGAATGCTCCGCCCCTAATTGCATAAATTGCTTGTTGTTTATCTAGAGTAGGGTTGAAGACGCTAAATATAATCTAAAATTTATATATGCGTAAGTACAAAATAACGTAGTTGTCAAAAAAGGACGCAGGTCGTTGTGTCGTCACAGGAAGCGCTGTCTCAGCACAGACCAATCTACTTCCCATAGGTCTTTGCGCTTTACGCAATAGTATCTCTGCCATAGGCAGCCTTCAATGTTGTGGTCAATCACCTCACTACGCATGGCCATTTTTCCGCGGTTGTTTCATTCGAAACCGAACTACAAAAAGTGGAAAAAACGTATGTGACAACCGAACTATTTATCAATGCCAGATTTATATCCTTGGGGGCGAACTCCGCACAGTTCGATACGCGTTACTTATCATCACTGCACAAAGCAGCTTTGCATAGAACTCATTTGCATATTCGAATATATTCGAACTACAAGACCCTGTCGGTTAACAAAGTTATGCGTAAGCCACTTGGTTACTTTAATCACTTTAATAAGACGTTTCACGCCCCGACTAAAATATACATGACTTGCGTTAGAAAAGTGCAATCCTTTCCTACATGCCAAAGCATTAGTTTCTACTATAAATGACTAACTTTATAAACTTACTAGAACCTGTGTGTTCTATGACTGTTAGACGCGCAAAATTGAACCCGTTCAAGCCAGAAATAGTATTGAAATATTCACCAGAATACAAGATAAACGGAAATGTTAGTAAACTCCTTTCAGTGAAATTAGTCTTAAATGTTTCTTTCCCAACTATATACGTTAACAGAACGTTTTTTCTCCTCAGTTTTAGTGTATCACGTGCGCCATTTCACTACAGTAACATTACCTTGCGAAACATAGTCCGCGATAAAATGGTTCGTTTTTACGTTTTTACTGAAGTCTAACATTAATAAATAATTCGGATGTTACATACGTTTTTTTCCACTTATTGTAGTTCGGTTTCAAATGAAACAACCGCGGAACAATTTTTTGCTGGAGCCTGAGTTCTACGCGTGATTTGATTGCGTTCAAATCTGTTTCATTTCAAACTGCGCATGCACACACACTGTGGTTTCTCGAAATGCATAATAATTAGGTAACTTGTCACTAATAAAAGTCACCGAAAACATTTTGAGCAATAGTACTAGAGTGAAATATAAACCTCTGCATTCTCCATGAATTTCATAATTTGATCATGGTAAAGAGAAAACCTGTGCTTACTTTGAACAGTTAGCTGGAGTCTGATCGAAAACGTGTTTCAAAAATACCTTTACATCATTTTTCCGATTATTTTTTCAGCTCGTAAAGATGGAATCAGTCAATTTAGAACTAACATGTATGCTATTGGAAAGCATGTTGGCACAATTTTACTGAAAAGACGAGTTTTTCATTGCTCATGAATATTAATTTATGCAAATGAGACGATTATTTCAACCAGTCGTGTCATGCACCCCCCCCCCCCTGGTGCAGTGATGATAAGTAACGCGTATGAAACTGTGCGGAGTTCGGAAAGGACGCCGACCTGCAAGGGGACGCAGGTAACTAGCGAGTAAGTGACGTAATTTGAAAACATTCTAATATTCGTTTTCTGTTAACAAGTCGTCATTACGCTATACCCATACAGTCTGCCTACTTAAACTTAATATTTGAGATGGCTCTGGCATTCCTCGCCGTTTCTGTGCAAATTGATAACAAAAGAAACAGTTTTTTAATCGCCTAACTTTCGAGAGTAAAGGAAAACCCCTGCTCTACGGCCACAAGCATAAACGCTGACGTCAGGTAACCAACGGAAATATAACAAGCAGCGAGAAAGTGATGGGCCAATCAATATGCCTGACCAATTCCTAGTTACCGGCCTCTTGTGGCTCGGTGCGCCATGACACATGAGGCGGGAACCAGCCATCGAACCAGCCAAAGTAATTGACGGCACATACGCCCTCTATTGGCGACCCGTTAATACTAAGCACCCTCAGTAGTGACTGATACTTGTGGTGCGTTTAATAATTTATCATGTAATTTGTTTTTTCAGGATTAATTGTACCTTTGTTAGCACTGCACCATTTATGACTCCTTTGAAAGTCATTATCAATTTTTGAGAGATTGATTTTATTGATTTGAATGAATTTATATAGGTTAGTATCACCTGCAAAGAGTCGAAAATTATGAGAATTGGTAGAAGTGGCTATATAATTAATGTAAATTATTCAACATACAGAAGCAAACATGTGATTTGTCAAAAACAGATTTTATTTCTGAAATATATTTATAGATTGGAAAAAATGTAATGGTTTGAGTCCAGAATATATCAACTCGCCAAACTTTGCTTTTATATCAACTAATTCATTCAATAGCCAACGTCAATGTTTTATAAAACTGATAGAGAACTCAGTATAAAGAATAAGGAAGGATTGAAAACTGGCGACAGAACACATTTCTAAATACTGACAATAAAAATACTAGTACTATCTGAACGAATAGAGATAGATAAACTCATTTATAGAAAATCTCCAAATTGGAGACGGTATTCTGTTAATTGCAATGAGGATATTATGACCTATATCAACAAACTTGAATTTATCTAGCATTTTATTTGATAGTGTAAATTAGGCTTTTATATTCTATGCACGAAAGTCATTTACAGTTTCTATTCAAATCCCATGAGCTGTGTCATACAGTTAATAGCTAGATAATAAATGTCAGTAGTATGGTTCCTCACAAAAACCCGTCGGCAGTAACATGGTTTGCATTCAATCCCCAATGATACAAGTATGATGTTCGATAATTAATTTATATTTCCGTCGCTCAGTAATTTAGGATTCGCGTCGAATATATATTTTGTACAGTACTGTCGTTTGATGGTTCCTGTTTCCTCGCTGTTTGATGATTCTGTCTGTCCGTCTGGAGCTAGTAAATAATTGTTCTCAGTGGTACATGATTTGTACACTAACTGAATGTTGAAAATCCAGTACCTTGGATGAGTTCAGAACATCATTCTTTTTATCAGCGATCTGAATACTGGCATCTTTTCCATGAACTATCTCCGTTCACTCTGTCTACAAGTCTATGGTTTTAATTGTCAATTGTCAATTGTCGCCAAATATAGTGGAAACTTGTACAAATCCTACAATACCTCCAATAACCCCTCTTTGTTGTAATATGCCCTTAACTTTTAGTGTATTCGACGTGAGCGTTAATCACTTTCAACATCATGTCTCTCGCTCGAAATATATTCTGTTGGTTGGTAGATTCTGCTGCCTTTACGTCGCCGTCTCATGTTTACGTGCTAATTAGAAACTGTTGGTTGACGTGGATTTTTTCCGGGAGTCCCGTAGTCAATATTCTGTGTGTCCAAATTGCCAAGGAGTGATTTAGTATATCTGACATAAATTTTATATTGTGCAGTCTTTGGGCGCAGTATTCTAAGAAAACGGGTCATCGTATTAATCATCGCGCGTATGGTGCGTTTGAGTATGCAAATTTCGAATACGTCATTGACAGCCACTTAGTTCTGAAATATCGAACGCGATAGTTTAGCTGACCTAAATACCGGATTTTATTTTTTTAAGTTTTTATTTTTTACACTATTTCGTTTGTATTCTAACTGATGATGTGGAAATGGGCAAACATAGTACAATAACGCGAATACAATGTCATAAGTGAACAGCGAATGTAGCGCTCAGCGCATGGGTTATAGAACTAGTCATACAATTATAACATGATTCATTACACGTGACCGGATCTCCTCCATTCTCCGCGAATTAGCGTATTTGAATATGAGAGATGACAATGTGACTTAATTTTGAGTCCCACAAATATATGATTCTGTAGTTTATTATAAAATGTCGAAGGCCGACACACTTCGAAAATGCATAGTTATTATATCTGACATCTATATTTGTGCATGTCTATATAATTAGCCTAATTTTTTAATGTTTTAAATTTGGATGATCTGTGTTTATAACACTGATTATCTTCTGATGAATTAGTATTACGGGTTCATAACAGTAATACTTTTTATGAACATTTCCCTTTTCAACTTCCAGCTACAAAATAGTTCAAAATTTGTTTAGTTTTGTAATTATCACAACTGTTTGATGGGTGTTCTTAATCGTCGTTTCTTCAGTTTAGCAAATTTACTTGCATGCGTCTAATAGACAAAAAAAAATTCCTATAACTTTAGATTAACAATTTTGAAAGCAAACGTTCATGTCATCCATTCTAATTATAGTTCCGTTTGTGTGGATCAGATGAATATTTATTACACATTTGTCCAAATAATAAATACCTAATTGTTTATATTAACTTATCTGCATATTTTGAAATTAAAAAAAATTATGGAGATCTAGAATTAGGTCACTTTATACACATCAAGTTCATTAATTTGGTTAACGGTTGTTGATGTGGCTGTGATTTTGGCATTATATCAGCTTTAATATGACAATTATTACGGAAAGGTCAAAATTATGCAATTCATATCTTTACAAAGGATATAATGAATTAAATTTTGATTTCAGTTTCGTATCCTCTGTTGTGTCTTGTTATATATTTGATTAGGAATTTATTTCGTTTTTTTTTTTTTTTTTTTTTTTGCTATGAATTAAATCCAGCTGCGGAAATCAATACTAATAACTCCGCAGGGAAAGTACCTCTACTGGCACTAATTTTACAAGGTTGATGCCCTTTCTCAACTTTAGGTATTCAAATACTAATCAATTGCATTTTTATAGCATGACAAACTCCGAGTGCCAAAATACAAAAAATTAGTAATTTCACAGAACTACGTTTACAAATCATATGCCTATTTTCAAATTGCTACAATGGCTACACGTTCACGAATCAGAGACTGCCATTCTGGAGTATACCATTCAAACTTATCCGACGTATTGTAGGACAATTGACATTATTTGCTAGGAAATAAATAAATTATTATATTCAACAATAAACTGTCACGGTGCCCTTCTTTTTCTTTCGAAAATAAATTTTCCGATATCTTTTATTGTTTCAATCGCAGATACTGACGTCACCATTTTTTGAAGATTGACCCTTTTTCTTGTTTGAGACGCACTACAGTTAGTTGGCTAGTGGCATTCAACAAGTTCTATAGTCTGCAAATATCAGGATTTTGAACAATCTTAATTTACCGCTGAAAAACGTAGATAAGGAAGAAATCAAGGAACTCCATAATTGTCAAAACACTCACACCCAGGCATAGTCCCATCAAGCCACCAAAACTACCTATTAAAATAAAAATTAAACGTTACTATACATGGTATTTTGTCTTATAAATGATCAAAGCTTGATGATGCTTGAGTTTCTATGTTTCTTGAAAAATGCATATCATTCATAATTAGGGTGGTAATTTACGACTACGCCATTGTAGTAACAGTACAGAGATATACTCACTAGCAAGTGACCATGGAGATACAGCTGGAACCAACATTATTTGCTTGTGCACAAGTTCTTCGAAGAATACTTTTAGGTCAACAATATTGTTGCTATACAAACAAAGAATAATACGTCAGTGGAAATCGGTCAGGTAAATCACGTAAAGAACCTGTTGACTAAATCGTGTACAAATAAGTTTTTATATTGTTCGTGCGAAAAAAGAAAAAAATACACGATTACTTTCAACACTTTTATATGTAATTGCAAATCATAGATTAAGGAGACTTACGTCAATACATCCTCAGTCACATCGTACATGTCTGTTACACGGTCAATAATAGACGGCGATGGGAATTGCGCGAAAGTAACACGTGGGTTGTAAGCTGTCAGCTCACACGGCAGGGTACAGTGAAACTCTCGAGATCGTCTTGATACCGAATCTGAAATATAAGTGTAACTCTAAATAATAAAATTAATCGTCTATAATGGTTTCATCGTGGTTTTGCTAATCATTTTTCAATATCAACTTTTTATTGACAAAAACATCATTGCAAATTGTCTCGAGAAAGTGTTTAGTAACAACCCGACCTAAACATGATTTCCCTCGTGTATGAGACACAGTCGGGGTTTCCCAAGCAGTTTTATCTCATCAACCCCTATTTAAATTTCACTTATGTTCTGTACACGTGTAATCTATGGTTATCCACAAACCTGATTATTTAATCGGGTAATGTTTCACTATTAATTAGGATATTCTCGTTATACAACATGTTTGTCAAATGTTTTCCTTTTCAGCGCAAAGGTACTTCGTATACAGGTTTTTTTAAATCATCCCCAATAATGTATTCTATATTCGTAAACGAGTAAATCTAAATAAGCTTAACTTCATAAGCACATAATATTTGTATAAATAAGTATACAGATTTCACTGACATAAGAACAATTGTCACACGGTCATTCTTTGATATGGGTATATGATTATTAATTAATATTTATAAAGTGCGTATATTAGGGTTTGTATTTTATTTCGACGTAAACCTTGAATTGAATAACAATAATATTGCATTGTTGGCGAGTATTGTAACTTAATATAACACGAACTAAAGCATTATTTTAATAGCGTGGCACTAAGTTATTGGAATCTATGTTTGACATAGATTGTGGACCCAATCTGTACAAGTTATCCTATCTATAAATATTCATCAGTATGCAGAAGTGATGGATTAATATATAAGAGGGATAACAATAGTTTAACTAAATTGTCAGGTCAAATGTTCAAAACGAAATATATAATAATATCTTATTCAGCTCTTTTAGGTTGAAATTGGTGTTACTATCTGATGTCTGAAAGATTGCACTTAAATTGTACTGAGAAACAACGTACATATAGACTGGGTATCAATACTAATAATGCCGTTACAAATGAAGCATATTACACATCCGATACTTCCTCAATGAGATATTTGCAAATATATTTTTAATATTTAATTAATATTTAATTAAAATTTAATTAAAATTTAATTAGTGACGGTTATTTTTATCGCTTTAAATGAATTCATAAAAAATGCTACGTTTTTATCGTATTGATTTATTCCCGACTTATTGTACTCATGCTAGTAATAGTAGTGTTCATATGACTATCATACTATGAAAAGTGTTTAAAAGCGATAACACTTTCCAAGGTCACTTTGAATATTTTATGTTGTATTATTAAACAGAATATTCCCCAGCGCTACACATTGTATGTATACACGAGATTGTAGCCGTGCTGCGTAGACGTCTAGTTTTGCCCGTTATTAGTTACATTTACTCCTCAGATCATTAAACACATTTTTTTTTTTATACAGTAAATATTAAATATGATAGGTGCCACTTACATATTAGTGCATACTGACTAGGTAGGGCCAAGATAGATATAAAAGTGTAATTGACAACATAGGTTGTGTTATGGACTAGTTGGCAACATCTCATTCGTTTTCTTTATAATTGTATCATTACGAGAATTACAACGAAAACAACAAATCAATACAAACGCAACGGAAACGCTATAATAATATTTCTTTAAAATTTTAAATATATGAAAAATACATGCATCTGTGATTTAAAAAATAAAAGTGTCGACATAAATCATATGATTTACTGTTGAATAGATAAAAAATGCTACGTTTTTATCGTATACGTACTGATAAAAGGCCATGCACATTCCACTGCTTCTTTAATATTACACACACGCGCAGGTCCTGAAAAATATCAAGAAGAAATAAAACAATCGTGATTAGAATTATATCAATCCCTCTTTGTAATTTGAGTTTTTTTGTCTCTTGCAATTTTTGATCCCTGATATGGGAAAGCAAAATGACGAAAGTCGGATACTATTGATATAAATCATAATATTGGTTGAACATTTAATGGGGTTTTCAGTGGGAGAATTGCATTTCATGTGTATACAATGAGAAGTTCTTTGAATTTAAATTGAATTCAACACAATCTGTAACTAACTCTTTGAACATTATTCTCAAATTATGTTGAGTTTCATCTTTTCAAAAGTCTCAGCGTTACGATTACAAACATTCATTCGGATTTGTTGGATATTGTTATTTCTCTTTCACGTGCAATTGACTGTGGTTATTCAGAAACTGTTAGTACCTGGTAAATACGGTTCTTTGCATTTGCATCTACTAATCAATAATTCGGTCATATGTTCGTTGACGCAGCCTTGATAAGAATATATTGGATGATATTTTGTACCTTTAGATGTGCAGTTACTTCGATATGGTGAAGGTAGGAAATGTGCCTGAGTATGGAGAAAATGGTCGCAACGATCGTGTCATCTAGTTAGGTTTATGTATACTGCTGTATTGTAATGTAATATGAGGATGTAATCATTGCACAAAATCAAACGTAACAGTCTAAGTAAGGTGTAGTGAAAGGACAATATCTATATATAGACATTAAGCATAGAACCAGGAACTATTGTCAGCTGATACGATGATGCAGCAAAGATGAGTACGTCGTGCCTCTCATGTATCAATCTCAAATTTATGAACGAGCTCTTGAATATATAGTCTACGTTTTGTATTTGATGTACCTTTTCTATTGTCACAGCAATCATCGTTTCTGTACCTGGTGCAACGGACAATACCGAACTTCGACCGAACGTTACCCGGCCAGGCTCGTTTAGTATTACCTGCCAGAGGTAATGAAGATTATAATGTATTATCTCAGAAATATTGAAACATTGAATATTCTTGTTCATATTTTTTCTCCCAAATTAATGTATGTTTAATATACGTCAAATTAGTGTTTACCATTATTCCGCTACCAGTACGAGGACCGACCGTGTACTCGTTCTTCTCTACACTTATCCGCAAGTGTAATCCTGAGTTTGACCCAGATTGTGATGTCAATAATGGGTTAAGCCAGTCGATGTTGAATGAATAACAAACTCCATATTCCGTGAAGACAGTAGTAAAATCATTCCATCTACAGTCACGCTTATCGTCATCGACAAATTGACATTTCAAAATCATGTCTTTCAATTGATGAGATGATACTAGCTCAAATTCTGTACGATTTATGAACGCCGGTTCATTTTCCAGAACACTCCAATCGTAGCTTATGTTAAGGTCCGGGCCAAATCCGGTGATTGGATGTAGTTTCCACAAAAATGCTTCAAACTGTGTCCCATTAATGACAGACTTTCGATATTGGTTGTAATTGCAAACAGTAACCGTTGGAAATGTGACAAACGATGGGAATTCTATCGACGTTATCACATCTGTCGGATATCCCAGATAAATGTATATTTGCGCATTGAGCGCAAAAACTAAAAAGACGGCACCTGAGACAACACATATACTCCAGATTAACCTGCAATAAGAAGACGTAAGAATTTCACTTCATTCTTCATTACAATATTATATAATCTTAATCTAGAGAGTAAACCAACAGCAAATGTGTCAATGTGGAATGTTTAGAACAAATATATAGACTTAGTTATGCTTTCTATAAGCAAAACAAAATGTTCACATTTAGTATTCGACACTTCTGGCAGGGAAAACAATCTATAAAAAAAGAATAAATGAAAGAATACCATAGGGGAGACGAATAACTTGGTAATTAAACATTATACGTCAGGACTAAATATAAGATCATTTTTTGACGACTACATCTATATCCAGCCATGTGCTTTGCCGACAGCGCAGTTTATGTTCATACGATTCTCACTGTAATATAATAATTGAATTATATTGTATTGAATACACACGGCCGCAATTGATTGATATTATATTGTTTTCACATATGTCCTGAAAGATATATATAGACCACAATATTTTATTTGTAAGAAAAAATCACATGTTGATATTTTGAGGTAAAATATCTACATCCATACAACAGAGCAAATGCTATCTTAAATAAAGATAATTACAATAGAGCAGTAATAGAAAAAACTCTGAATGTGAATACCTTCGTTGCCAGGAACTGGATTTGTCTGACGCGTAGGCCACTCCATGCAGTGTAGTGTGTCCCATGAACTGACAGAATCGTTCGGAGAAGCGATGGAATCGCGCGTTATGCTCGACGTTGCTTGAACTCTTGTCACTCTCCGGGGAACTCGAACCACGACGTTCAGCGTGAGGGGAGATGTCAATCTTTGACATATTAGAGTGCCTAACAGACGTTATTTCTGACATTGTGTTCTACCGTGTACCTCTACAAACATCAGCTCAAATACAGTACGTATTATCAAAACCGCTGCGTCGATTGCACTGAAAAAACGTATATATAAATATATATAATGTTGACACACTGAACAACTAGAGGTAATAAATAAGGAATAAAATGCTCCGTTTTATAGCAATTAACGATGGCGAGCGCTTCATGAACACTGCACTGCAATGTTTTATATTATACATGATGCGGACTAAACTGTCGGAGAATGCAGACGTTATCCTTAGATGCCAAGGGTCTCGTGGGAACATACCATACTACATACATCTATACGTGCATTATTGGTTTATGAGATACATAAAGTTGTAGTGTGGAATGTGGAATAAACTATAATATACTAAATATACTAAAAAATAATATAAAAAATAACAACTCCTTACAATTTATTTGCACCAATTTCCGATGCATACGCCTGTAGAACAGAAAATATTGATACAAAATTCATGCATTTTTTTCCGATAAGAACCTTCCAATCTACCAGTCTGGATGGCCTATTACACTACAGAAAATTACATCTATATAAATAATGTGACCTCGATAAACGTACAATAAATTATTAAAAGATAATGCAATTTCATTCAATGCTATATTATGTTGTTAATATATCGTTATTTTAAATTAAAAAAAAACGATGGGTAACGACTGTTCAGCTGTAATTTGACTTATTTCAAACTAGATATTTAGAAAATGTGAATTCATCTACAGTATATTATTTATTAGTTTAGATAATACTTAAATTATTTTGACATACCGTTATTTTTTGCAATTATTTAATAAAGGGACACTGAGGAATACAATTGGGTATTTTCAATAAATTTGACCGATACGCATGCGCTTTGGGCCAGACGCGTGCGCGTAGACATACTTAATTAAATATAATTATAGCTTCTTTTAAGTCTGTCAAATAAAACACGATATTCTCTGTAGCCTTTTAATAACTACTTGGCAGAAGCTCATTTTCCAGATGCGTCATTCAATAACAACAGTGACATACTAACCACAACAATATATGCATTATTGCTGATGGATGCCCATACACATATGGGTTTCGATGCAAACTTGATTTATAATTCAAACTCAGCTGAACATATGTTATTCTTTGGATGCTGTACGAGGCGGTGCGTTAGATCAGTCGTGATTAATTCGTAACATACGACTATAGTGTCATCGTTATTGTCAGATGTCGTATTCATAGTTGTTGTTGATAACGTTATTGCAAAGGAGTCGCGATCTGCGCCATTACGTAACATACATAATAAAATACATAGTATAATTAAAGCAATTTAGTGCACTCATGCTTGCCATAGGGTCAAGGCAATAGTGTTATTCCGTCATGCCACCATAATTTCCAATGATGGTCATTCAAGAAATGCTGAAACACATTTTATTCATCACAGTAGTTATGAAATCTATATAATCGCCACCATCCACATAAAGTCCATGTCCCCACAGTGCGATGCATGTACGGTGGATCAAAGCATTCAGGGGTATACACTACATGCATCTGGATTTAAAACAAATGCTTGTGATTATATCCACATCAACACAAATCCTAGCCTACGTTACAGACTAGTACAGCATGCTGTCGGTAGCTACCGGTAAATTAGACATTGTTCATTGTTCAAGTACCAAATGCAAATTTAATTGTCAAGTGTGTCAGAAAAATAGCCTAGAATGATTAAACGCGCATTTTAACAATCAAAATAGCCCAGCTGCCTATGTAGAGACAAAGTTGATAATGCGATGATAATGAAATATTAGCTGAACAATGACATATTAGCTATTTGTCATGGTTATTGTTACCGCGAGTTCACATCCAAGGTCATGTTATGGTTGTTGCTATCATCTTATTTACCGCAAGTATGACTAAATTATTCGTTAAAACAGAACATTAAAGATGTCGTCACTTAATGGATAAATCTGACAGTGGTCAGGCCATGGCACATACCTACAAAGAATCAAAGCAATTGAGCTTGTAGTTTTCAAGAAGTGGGAAACAGTTTTTTTTTTTTTTTATCAAACAAATTAAACGGTTGCATGACAATGACGATTGGAACATTCAGTAAAGACCAACATAACGTGAAACATATTGACATCATGTATGTCATTATGTCAGCATGTTAAAGGACTATGCATTGCTGAACTATCGTGTCAAAATGGTAGTTTATTGAACTGGTGCAATGAGAGGGCGCTTTCCATATCACAAGGTTATCCTTAGAAACTATTAGAACATATTTTGCCGAATCGGGGCATAACAAATTCAGTATTTCTGTCATTTCCGCATAAAAGAATGAGTATTTTACCGTCGTAAAAAATACAATCTGAGAAAAAAGGGTAGTTGTGGTTTATTTGTGTTTTAATTCACATACTATTCACAGATGATTATACTATGTACCCTTCCTTAAGATATAAGGCTAATTTGCATGTGATGTGAATGTGATAATTATTACGAGAATACCGCAAAGTGTGCACGAAAGCAGTACGGGGATTTTATCGGCCGATGCAATGTTGAGGTTGTTACCACAGGGAGCCCAGGAACTATAATCAACTGTAATACGCAGTCTCTATGAGCGGGGGGGGGGGGGGTAATCGGCTAGTATCTAGTGTAAGAAATAGGCAAGGGATGAAGGCTCCAGTCAGCTCACATTTTTTAAACTCGAAAAAAACAGACCACATCGAGGTCACGACTCGGTTAGCCTTGCTCAACTGGTTCGTAACCAGTCTTGTGATTAGTTGTTGACAAAT